TGGTACACTCCATGTTGTTAGTGTCTCTATTATGAGTTTATTCTCCTTGGGATACTCCTCTTCTTATTTGTGGTATGATCCATGTTCATCACATATTTTAGGATGTTGAATCTTGGTTTTTCCATGAATCACAATGAAGGAAAATAACATAAGTAGGGGGGATAAAGCGAATAGTAATTCATCATGATCTGTTCTGTCAAACCCACTTTTTTCATATAATGATTCTCCTATTACTGAGGTGAGGATACATAATGATGTTATTATATGTTTGCGCTTGCTTTAAAAGATTCAGTGTTGGGGTATTTATGGTAATTTACATGGGTAAACCTGTCATCTGATTACTTTCTAAGTTATTTGGTTGACCTTAGTTAAATTTAAGTCATCAAGAGCAACTTAGTTGGCCGAGCTTGGTTGGTATCGATCTGGTTGGTCGATTGACTTTTGTTAGTATGTATCCACTCAGTTGGTTGAGCTTGGTTGGTATGGATCAACTGACTGATACATCCTAGCTGTCAATTTTTGACCCTTGATGAGGAGCCAAGACTTTGACTTCTGAGGAGGAGTCTCTTGGCTTCCCTGTGATTGTTAAAGATGCTTGGTAATAGGATCATTCCTTGGATCGGCTCTTTTGTGGTGGTTTGCTCGAATACTGGTTTATGTCTGAGTGACTAGTTTTTGTTTTCTCTGGTCATCTTTGGTCGTCTTGTGCTTTTGTTGGCTTTGGTCTTGTTGACTTTGTTTGGACAGCTTCACTTGAGAGCGAATGCATTGCATAAATCATAAAAAATGAAGATCAACAATGGTATTTTACTATAGGGGTGTATGAATAGATGATATACGTTTCGATCCATTAATTTTTCATTTTATATGCAACATTATCGAAAGTGCAACATTGTAAAATATGACTCATAGGATTATTGAGGCATTTAGGGTACAAACAAGCAAAAGGTGATTGTCGCGGGGTGACCCATCAATTTGATTCAAAGCTAAAATAATTATAAATTATTTAAATAATATGTAATATTTAATTTTGAAGCTGTTAATATAATAATCAGGGTTTTAACTCTCGACTAATGAGAGCATTAGGTTACTCAAAGCCTTTAGATGATGCTAAACTAGATATTATATAAGCAAAACTAAACTATTTCACTATCACCAAATTCAAATTAAACTTATTGTTGGCTAGAAAAATCCAATCTTGAAAGAATTATATGGGTGTACACTCACAATTGACATAGTTAACCCTAATTACTTCATTAGCTTTTGCCTAAATTGCATCTCTGATCATTTTAACAGATATTGTTTTGTAAATAATTATATATTTTTTGCCTTTATATGAATTAATTATAATGACTTTAAAATTATAAGGTTGATGTCACTCAATATATATATATAT